TTTTTTTTTTGGGAACAATTTCGTTCTCACAGTCCAAATCATCTATCTCAAAGCTCGTGGAGGATATTCGTAGCGAGTGGCAATGCCGAGAGCGAGGGATGAGTCCGAGTCCGAATACGAGGAAGAAGCCGCTGCCGTTGACCGTGGAGCCGGGCCGGCCGGCTGCGCGAGGGCGAAGCGCAAGAGAGGTAAATCGGAGCTTGAGGATGGCGAAGAGGAGGGTTGCGGAGGTGGGAGTGGCGGCCGCCGCCGCCGAGGGAAGAGGGCTTTGAAATCGGTGTCGGATTTCTTTGAAGAGGAGGCTTATGTGGACAGCGACGAGGAGGAGGAGGACGGCGAGGAAGGTTCGTATTCTGCTGCCTGTTGTGTGTGTGTGTGTGTGTCTGTGGTTTTGGGAGGTCGGGGAAGGTGTTTAAATGTTTAATTGTTTGGATTTTGTGTCACAATTGTGCATGAGAAGCAAATTGATGGCGCTCATCAATTCTTTGCCTCAGTATAAGTATTCCTCCTAAATTCCTAGATTGCTCTGAAATTCATGGGATGGGATGTTGTCGTCCAAGGAAGGTTTTCGTTTCTAAACTTGAATACCTTTTTCCTTGAATACATTGGTTTTACTATGCATCAGGTCATGTATTATGTTTTTGTCTTTGCCGTTTGAGCTATTTATATACTCCATTACTTGATGAGCTTATTTGGACTCCAACAAAGAAAAAAGTACGTCTTTTGACTATTTGGGTCTGCGTACATAGATTTCATTGATCCTGCGGATGATATGCATGATAACGACGATGATGGAAGAACTCATCATCGTGCTCCGCTCCTTGCACGCGATCGTGATGAAGAAGAGGATGTCGAGGAAATCGAGAGAATGGTTCATGAGAGATACTCAAAAAGCAATTTTGAGTATGATGGGGAGGCTACAGCACTAGAACACCAAGCTCAGCTTCCCTCTATTTGGGACCCCAAATTATGGACAGTCAAATTTGCTTTGTTATATTGACTTGGACGTATATGTGAAATCTCTGGGTTTATTGTTCTACAGGCTGTTAAGGGTATGCAGAATATATACCAACAGAAGATAGGCCTTGTCCCAATCGATGAAATGGCAGATGTTTTTTCATTATTTTTCTATGGATATGTCGGTTAGAGTGGGGAGTGGATTATATAAAGGCGATCTTGCAAAGGTATGAATTTGAAGATGATTTTTCATTTCCTCTTTTCGTTCTATCTTTTCTTTGTCTAGTACTTCAATTTTGGAAACTTCTCTGTTCATAAATGCTAGGTTGTCGATGTTGACACTGTGAGGCAGAGAGCAACTGTAAAATTAATACCGAGGATTGACTTGCCGGCCCTGGCTAACAAATTGGTCTGTCTTTGTTATTTTTGCTTACATTCTTAATTGTGTATATATGTATCTTTAAATTATGTACTGAATCTCATTTAGAGCAGATTAAGTAAAACTTATCCTTTGTCATGGAACTGACAATGAAATTCCATATGTCTCACATATTAATTTTTGTAAGCATATAGTACCTATAATCTGACATGCAGTTTGCTCTTTGGCCTTGTTTCAGGAAGGAAGGAAAGTTTCAAAAAGAAACACATTTAACTTACCTGCACGATTTATGAATATTGATGAAGCTAGGTGCGCTTCAATGTTTTCTTTTTTCTTTTTCATTTTCTCATCTATCATTGGGCCTTATTATTCACTATTGTTTTATTTTATACCCAGATTGCTGAATATTCATGTTGGGCGTAAACGAGATCAAGCTACTGGTGATTATTTTGACAAGATTGACGGGATGATATTCTAGGATGGTCTCTTGTATAAAAAATTGTCACTGAAGTCGCTCAGCACTCAGGACGTGGAACCGACTTTTGATGAACTTGAAAAGTTTGGGTGGCCCAGTGAGGTTGGGGATGGTGGCATGTCAAATTGGTCGGTCCACTCTGCAAACAGAAAGAGATGTCACTTCGTAAAGGGTGGCAGTGTAGTTGTTGTCAAGGGAGATCTTAAAAATTTGCGAGGAAGGGTGGAAAAAGTTGAGGAAGATATCGTTCATATTAAACCATGTGGAAAGGGGTTTTCTGTAAGTACTGGTTAGCTTGAACTTCCGCTTTATGTTTACCTTTAAAACTAATTATTTCGCATGTTTATTCCAGAAAACTCTTGCTATCCGTGACAATGAGCTCTGCAAGCACTTCGAACGTGGAGATCACGTAACGGTTGTGTCTGGTGCTACCAAAGGCGTAACGGGTTTGGTGGTCTCTTTTGAGGGTCATGCGGTGAACATAGCATCGGATATCACCAAGGAAGTTGTACGTTATTCATCTTTTAACTTAAAAAATAATTGTTTATCGTAATTAGTGTTGATTTTGTTACTATATTTGCTTTACATTAGTACTGTGTATTTGTCACTATCTGCCATTGATGTTGTGGAGAGCTCTGAAGCATCATTTGGTGTTACTCACCCTAGTAATTATGAGCTTCATGACCTTGTGCTACTTGAGTCATGAGTTCCTTCATTTCCTTTCCTTAAGCGTAGTCTTCTTTTGTGCAATTTCCTTTTTCCCATCAAGTTTTTCACTCTGATTTGTTTATCTAGAATTTTTTCATGTGCAGTGATAATAGTTTTGGCATGATTATAAATGTGGAGGGTGAAGCTTTTCAGGTCAGTGGTATAAGTTAGAATTATATCCAGATGATTGGCTTTCTTATTCTGATCTTGCTTTTGTGGGCTGCTCAGATCCTTAAAGGTGTTCCAAGGAGACCGGATGTTGCCGTTGTGAGGTTAAGGGAGATTAAGAGCAAGATTTACAAGCAATGTTTTGCAAAAGATTGTTACATGAACACATTATCTGTGAAAGATTCTGTTAAAATTCTTGAAGGTCCATGCAAGGTGAGATTCTGGAACTCCTCGACTTGGTGCTTGTCTTTTAGAACTTCAATTCAGATGCAGTTAATGAGAAGGACAATGTTCTTCTGTTGTGTGGATATTCTTGTGGATATACGATTAATGAGAGCTTTTATAATTTTGCTTCGACAGGGGCAAAAAGGTCCGGTTGAACACATATACAGAGGTATTCTGTTTATTTATGATCGTAATCACCACATGCATTATGGTTATATTTGCGTTAAATCCGAGTCGTGTGTGGTGGTGGGTGGTGGGTGGTGGTGGATTACGCGCAAATGATGATATAAATGTACACATTCTAACCCTTTTTGTTTTCAAATTCTTGTTGACCAAGTATCTTTTGCAGCACGTGCTTGGTCTTATGCCAATTTAACTTCTCTTGTAGGATAACACAAGGATGGTGAGATTTCCCAGGCTGAGAACTGCTTTTGTTCCTCAGTCACCACTGAGACCACCCAGGGGTGATCCTGTGAATCGTAAGTCACTTTTGTTGGAAAATGTGACGTGGGTTTCTCGAAATCTTTGATATGTTCTCAGCTGGTTATGTTTCTTCGTGAGGATGTTTGGTCGTTTGGTTTAGTGATAGTCCCGTCTAGATTGTGTTTGCTATGTGGTTTTCATTGTAATGCGATTTATTTTTTTCTTGTTTCTCATAGTTGGTAGAAAGCATGAACGTGTACGTGATGCAATAGTTGGAGTTGCCGTTAAAATTCGCACGGGCAATTATAAGGGATACAAGGGACGTGTTGTAGAGGTCAAAGGTTCTGTGGTCCTGGTACAGTTAGAGTCGCAGATGAAGGTTGAATTAATTTCGTTTATTGCAACACGATATACGTAGGCAACCCTCAGAACGGGTCTGGTCTTAATATATGTATAGAAGGATTGGAAATTAGGGAAGTACAATGAGATGTCACTCTTAATAGCCCAAGGTTGACATTAGAGGCTGGAATCAATCTAGAGGAAACTAAGTTCTTTCTTACCTTTCTCGTTCTTTTTTCCGGGCTTTGTCAAGCCCCAATTGTGGGGCTGTTGATCTTATGGACATAAGTTTTGTTATGCTTGGTGTTTTTTTTTAATGTTTGTTTGAGTTCTGTTATGTTGGCTGTCAATAGGTACGATGATCTCAAGGGCATGCTCGCGAAAACGAGAGGCGGATAGGTGCTTGTTTGA